TGTTGAGCAGATATGCTCTTCTATTTTTTCCACATGGCAAACTGCCGTGTCTCGAACTCTCTCCGAGGGAGAATCTAGCGGAGATTTTATGTCTGAGTTGCAAAAACTCTTCAAGCAATGCCTGCCCAGTGACTTCTCCGTCTCAGGAGTCGAGCGCAGTAAGATCGTCGATTTTTTCGTTTGCCTCCAGTTCTGGCGCGGTCTACCGTCGTCAACCCCTGGGTTGACAGGATTGAGGCAACAATGGCAATCAGAGCTGAAGAACAAGCCAGCTAATATGATTGAGCACGCACTGAACCTCTGTAAGGCTGTTACAGCCGATGGTTTCACTGCTGTGGCTTACCCCCCTAGGGGAAAGGGCTCTTCCGGATACGCCGCCAAGGGCCATAGAGTAGGCAAAGGTAAAGGCAAAGGCAGAGGTAAGGGGTATGTCTCTCATGACATCAGTAAAACCCCTAGAACTTATGGAAAAGGTCTGAGATGTTATAATTGCAATGGCCGCGGGCATGCTGCCGCGGACTGCCCGCCCCAACCTCAGTCACAGCGCAGAGATTCGGCTGGTCAGGTGGGTCCATACATCCTTCGAGGCGCTTTTAGCAACGCCGATACACGGTTTATATCCGTCCGTTTCAGGTGTGATGAAGCGGGTTCCGGCTTCATAGAAGGTATGTTTGACACCGGGTCCTCAGTGACTCTCGTTTGCCGAAGTGTCTTAGACGAACTTGGCATTAGTTGCTCACAACTTTCGCCCTCATTTTCATCCTCTATTCACTCGTTAGCTGGTAGCTTGTCAGCCAGCAAGACTTCGAGTCTTCAGCTTAACGTGTGCGGTGTTGCAGTTTTTCCATATGTTGTGGAAAAAGAGTCAATATTGTCAATAGACAATCACAAGATCCATATCTTGCTAGGCCTGGACTGGCTTCGACACTGCAATGGCGTCAGCCTAAATTACGTCAGTGACCGATGGACAGCGGCAATAAACTCAACCATATCGAACGCTCGTTCGTATGCGCTGGTTGGTCAAGCCGAGGAGCGTGAAGCAAACTCTGCACCATTAGTTATACATGAACGGGATATGATCCTTACCCGTTATGTTATAACAGATCCAGCAAAAAAGAATAATCCCCGTCACAAGTACCAATGGCAAGTCTCTTGGCTATGGCGTGGCGGCCAGGAGCCATGTAGACCCATGTATCATGTACCGCATTATCCTCAAACGGTCGAGAAACTGAGTGCACATGAACTGCAGCTCTTTCATGGGTCAATTCAGACCATGATTGACAATAAATATTTCGAGCCTGTCGATCCCTGCGACGTGAAAGCTACTGTGACAACCATGCCTATAGTGTCGTTGGGCAAAAGTACTCCCGTAAGAGTAGTTATTGATTACAAGTTTCTCAATACCCTCATTGAGTCAACTCCAAACGACCGCTACGGACCTGTCTCTTGTCCAGCGGAGGTACGTCGGTGGAGATCATTAGATCCTTCTCAATATGTGACGATAGACATAAAGCATGCGTACATGCAACTTCATATCAGTCCAGAACAAAAATACTGGCAGTGCGCCGTCTTTCCACACATGCCAGAGGGTTCCAATATCTTTGCTATGACGAGAGCAGCTTTGGTCTAGCCATATCGGGTAAAGCCCTCGCGTTGTCTACAGATAACTGTCTAAATCGTATTAAGACTCGCTAAAGCATCCACTGCGAAGTACGTGGACGATATAGTAGTTCACAAAGATGATGTTGACTTGTATGCGACACGCTTGCA